GTTTTGTAGCACACGTGGGCAGCGGTGTCGGCGCTGAAGGTCCTTGTGCAGATACGAGAGACAGCAATAATGACGGAAAAAATCAAAATATATTGTGTTATTGGGAGTATATAGTGTTGAGGCATTTGTTGCCATCGCTACCTGCTCTCCTCTCCGTCCTCGATGATGTAGAGCAGCGTTGAGTAGCCTAGTCGTCAATGGCCGGGCCTGGCCATTTCTGAGCGCCTGACCCCACTGACCTGTCAACTGACGGTCGGTTACTTCTGACCCCATCAGCTAGCATATAGAATACCGAAGCTTCCAACGGCACACAAGAATAGCCCTGTGATAGGAGTCTCAGGCTGCAGACTGAAGAAGGCGTAGACCATGACCCGTATAAATTAGATTTGGATTTTCCTTGGTAGCTGTGCGCGCAACACGACAATATCCATCCCCCTACACTATGCCAAATCCGCAGACCCCAAGATCAGACCACGACCACACTGACGCCTCTATTTCCCAGCATCGGCTGCCTCCATCCGCACGCCCACTGTCCCTCAAGATAGAATCGGTTTCCCGTGCTTAGTGCATGGCCCGTATGCGACATCAGCAACCGCGACGAGATTAGGAACGCTGGCGGGGCAAACGGCGTCACCAGTGGCGGCAGGCCGAGTGTTGGCGCGATAGGCAGCAAGGTGGGATATGGGCTGCGCTCGAACTCTTCTTTTTGGGAGTGCGAGTATTTAGGAGATATGGTCGGATTGGCGACTGCGGTGCAAAGCGCGATTTCGCCGCTCAGACATTGCTGTACGAGCACGTCAGGCGGTGTCCGCGGAAGTGGCGTGCCGGACTCGGAAAGGCCGGCAACAAGCTCGAGAAGTCGTATTACGGTAGGAAGAAGCGTGTGATGAAGGATAAGCCCGCTAAATGTGCATTAAGCGTTAGCGCATACTCCTGCTATCCGATAGGAATCACGCACCTTCCACCGGTACCAACGAAAGCACCCCGCCATTGTGCATGTCTCTTCTCTCCAGCTTTCCAGGAGTCATCAACGATACCTGATCTGTGCAGCACATCTGCATCCGCGCTGTCGATGAGGCTCGATCCTAGCTCGAGCAGTACGCGAACGATGCCTTCCATGCCCCACGCACCACAGACGGCAAAATCGTCCTCGACGACCATGATCCATTCGTGCTTGAAGTGATACGCATGATGCAAGGCGTCTGAGAGATGAGCGTAGTGAGAAGGCGGACGGTTCGTGGGTGGATGCATCACGAAGTCGAGCGCAATGCCCGCTGAGCGCCACAAACTCCCCGAGCCAGTCGCCGAGAAGTAAGTCTTTGCACGATCCCACGCACGGTGATGCCCGTCGAGGCTGGTGTGGCCGTACACAGTCAGTGTCGTGTTCGATGAAGACGGTAAATTAGCATCGCGCCAGCCGTCGAAGTAGGATTGGATGCTGTCGATCATGTAGTCGCTTGAGAGGTCCCTGTCACGCGGGTACGTGAGCATTATGATGTGCATGTCTAGGGTGAGGGGAAGGTTTTCGGACGTCGTCGCCGCTGCCCCTCGACGGAAGCACGTTCTCAGGACGGAGAGTCTGGCGTAATATGGGATGCTTCCGAAGACCCAGGATATGACAATTGCGGAGAGGGTCATGAAGACTATCTGAGTCTTCGAAAGGACAGCGCGAGATTTTATAGCATCGATCGCCTCCTGTCGACGGGGAAATGGCAGCAGCATTCCTATGTCATCTTCATCGTCTCGAGCAAGAGGTGCACGCCCAGAGCCCGCGCCTAACAAGTGCAGTTGCGATCTTAAGGCGCAGTTGATTTTCCAAATGCCTGCCATGCCTGCGGCACAGGCGTAGCCCCAGGGCATCCCGTCTACCATAGCGAACATCGCCAGTGAAGCTAGGCGGACGAGCGTACTACGTGCGCCCCCCTTACCGTAAATGTAAGCAACAGGAAACGCACCCGTACCAGGTCCAAAGAGCATGACGCCGACAACGAGAGGTCCTATGCCATACAAAGGCTCATAGAGTGTGTAAGGCGCCAGTAGAACTGGGTATGTCCATCCAACGGATCGTGTGAGAAGGTAACCGAGAAGCGAGCGAACAATGATCAGGGAGCCATACGTCTTCAGGAGCTTGTGGAAGTTCAAAGCAGCGCTCTCAACGTCCGGTGACACTGAGGAAAGGTGTACACAGAGCCACGAGGCGTAGAGGAGTCGTGAAAATAATGCTCTGCGCGATGGAATGAGAAAGGGCGAAAGGAGCAAGGGAAGGGCCGAGTCTTGCGGCGCATAAATGAGAATGGCGGGAGAGATGGGCGGTATATGTCGTACGAGGGGTAGCTTGGCCGCAACGAGGCTCAGGCATGTGTACACGACGAGCCAAGGTGGAGTAGCGTACAGGGTCTGGCGCAGCCAGGGTGACACCGTCCAACGCATCCGCGACAGTTTGGATGGGCGCAAAATAAAAAGGTAGCGGCGGGACAAAATAAGTTTCCTGTGGGCAAGACGATTGATACAGGTGATATTTCCCCGCTGTATTCCTCGATGGGAACAGGCCGCTATTGTCCAGCCGCCAGTGGCGCGCCTTACTGAATCACCATGAATGTTTCAGGGCACTCGTATGCAATACGGAGGATCGCCTTTCGAAGTGGTCCTCCAGTGCGTCGGGCTGTTCATGGCCGTGTGGAGATCACGAGCCAGGACAACGGTTGAGGCTCTGAGGCTTTCTGAACGGTCTCATCGTAAAGCACGAGGCGTTTGAGGGCTATATGCAGCAGTGACAGCATCTGGATCGCAGCACTTGCGAGTTGACGACAACCCGGCGATCAGCGGAGTCCGTGTTTACGATGCGCACCCGGTGTATGACCATGAGCTGTATGTGAAACACTATGAAACGAGTTATTATGAATAAATCTCGAGCATACCAGTCCAAGTTCTACGGAACGTTTCCGCTAGACTCGCCAGCCAGGTCTGGCCGCTGCGCTTTGTAGAAGCCACAGGACTCCCCCTTGCATTCCTTCCCGGCGGGGAATGCGACGGCTGCAAGAAGCTGACGCGAGATGGGCCTACGTTTTCACTGCTCCCGCGTCTGCGGCCGAGGCCTGAGGCCTGAGGACTGGAACTGCAAAGGGTAAGAGCGGGATGCTGCCAAAGAAGAAAATGTCGGTATCTTGATGACATCAGATCCCGATCTGACGGCGGTCGTCCGGTGTCTCACTGTACCCGAACCGTGCTGGAGCGCTGTTGAGTGCAAACCAGAACTGTCGCATTCTCCGGCTCGGGTAGCTCTTTGAGCCCTTCTATTCGACGCTTGCAATGACAACATACGACTGACATACTTGACATGTCTTCGCAAAAACCCCGCAAGCGAAGCAGCCTCCTGGAGTTTCACCGACCGCAACTGAGGCTCGAGAGTGTTCCAGTTCCACCGTTGAAGCCAGAATCCAGGAGGTGAGGTGGATCCCACAGATATTGTAAAGTACTAATGATGCACAAGATGCCTGAAAAACTTAGCAAAGTACAGTACGCCGAAGCAGAGGTTGAGGTTCCCCAAGTCACGAAATGCTGCGGTCCTCGTGGCACTGTTTGTGGGACGCCAGGGGGATCTTTACGTCTTGCTCAGCCAGTGAGTGTCGGACAGTTCATGTGGTCTGATATGACTAACTTACAAGGCCTAAGACGGGCTCAACATCTCCGAACCTTCCCTGGTGACACTTCCCTGCCAGGCGGAAAGTGGGACGAAGGCGATCGGGGTGCAGAGGACACAGCCGTACGTTAATTCTGGGTCAAGTTCTATCCCTATTAGTAAATGGCATTCAATGCACAGAGAAGAGAAGCGTTTGAAGAGGTATACTGAAGTCTGCAACATCTCGAATGCTTGTCTGATACACTTCTTGATAGATAGGTCTTCCAATAGACAAACAACGGGTTCCTCTACTGTGTATCCTTGAACCGTTTCTCGCAGGTGGTAACCTGATAGTGACACCGTAAGCACCTCTATGCTTTTCGCTCCATATATGTGCACTCACTGGGCCC